GCGTAACCCTCTTAGTGACGCGCCATATCAGAACCCCGGTATGGTGTTAAATGAGCAAGGGCCAGGTCGTCACCCCCATGAAGCGCCGTGTCGCGATCTGGGCATGGTGTCAAGTGAGCAAGGATCGGGTCGTCACATCCTTAGTGGCGCGCTACATCGGCGTCCGGGTGTAGTGAAAAATGAGCAAGGGTCTTCACATCTGAGTCGATGGGTGCGAAGGGTAAGGAAGCTAGTCGAACCAACTAGGATCCATTTAGGTAGTTGGAATGTAGGGTCTCTTATAGGTAAGTTAAGAGAATTAGTTGATACCATGACTAGGAGGTGTGTAAATATATTATGTATTAAAGAGACTAAATAGAAGGGTCAGAAGGCGAAGGAGGTGGACAATACATGTTTCAAGCTTTGGTACACAGGGACAGTCGCGAATAGAAATGGAGTAGGAGTTTTGATTGATATGAGCCTCAATAATAGTGTGGTGGGAGTAAGAATGCAAGGAGATAGGATTATCTTAGTCAAGCTTGTCATTGGTGATATGGTCTTGAACATAATTAGTGCGTATGCCCCCTAAGTAGGCCTTGATGAGAGTGCTAAGAGACAGTTTTGGAAAGACTTAGAAGGCCTGATTAGAGCTGTACCTAGTAGTGAGAAGCTTTTTATAGGAGGAGATCTTAATGGGCATGTAGGTACTACAAGCGAGGTTTCGAGGCAGTTCATGGAGGTTTGGGTATGGTAGTAGGAATCAGGAGAGGGAGGAAGTTCTAGACTTCGCGGTAGCTTTTGACCTGATGATAGCCAACACTTTCTTTAGAAAGAGAGAATCTCATCTAGTGACCTTCAGTAGCGGACAACACTCTAGTCAGATTGACTTTGTCCTCGTAAGAAGAAAGGACAAACGAGCATGCTTGGGTTGCAAGGTGATACCAGGGGAGTGTGTTGTTTTTCAACATAAGCTTTTTGTGGCAGACTTTCATTTTGAGGTGCGTGCCCGTAGGGAATAAACAAGCTAAGATTGAAAGAACAAAGTGGTGGAAACTGAAAGGGGAGACGTCAGAGGTATTCAGAGAAAGGGTTATTAAAGAGGGCTCTTGGAAGGAAGAAGAGGACATAAACAACATGTGGGAGAAGATAGCAACCAACATCCGAAAGGTGGCCTTAGAGGTGTGTGGAGTAACCAAAGAAAGTGGAGGCGAGGCTAAAGATACTTGGTGGTGGAACAAGGAAGTCCAAAGGGCTATTAAAGAGAAGAAAGAATGCTATAGATGCTTGTACCATGACAGGAGTGTGGACAACATAGAGAAGTACAAGGTGGCAAAGAAGACTGCAAAGCGAGCTGTAAGTGTGGCAAAGGGTAGAGCGTACGAGGATCTTTACCAACATTTGGGTATGAAGGAAGGAGAGAAGGACATTTATAGGATGGCTAGGGTTCGTGAGAGAAAGACAAGGGACTTCAACCAAGTTAAGTGCATTAAGGATGAAAGGGAGCATCTCTTGGTGAAGGAGGATGAGATCCGACATCGATGGCAAGATTATTTTGACAAATTGTTCAATGGTGAGAATACGGACACAACCTTTCAGTTGGATGACTCTTTTGATGACACCAATAGGCGCTTTGTGCGGAGAATCCAAGAATCTGAGGCCAGAGAGGCGTTGAAAAGGATGAAAGGAGGTAAGGCGATGGGACCGGATGGTATCCCAATCGAGGTGTGGAGATGTCTCGGGGACATAGCTATAGTATAGCAAACCAAGCTGTTCAACCATATTTTTCGATCGAAAAAGGTGCCTGACGAGTGGAGGAGAAGTATATTGGTACCGATCTATAAGAATAAAGGGAATATTCAAAGTTGTACTAATTACTGGAGAATTAAGTTGATGAGCCATACTATGAAGCTATGGGAGAGAGTTATCGAGCATCGTTTGAGAGCAATAACGCGGGTCTCAATGAACCAATTTGGTTTCATGCCCGGTAGGTCAACCATGGAAGCAGTTTTCTTAATAAGACAAGTTATGGAGCGGTATAGGGAGAAGAAGGACCTACACATGGTTTTTATTGACTTGGAGAAGGCTTATGACAAAATACCAAGGAATGTTATGTGGTGGGCTTTGGATAAATATAAAGTCCCAACGAAGTACGTCGGGCTCATTAAGGACATGTACAACAATGTTGTGACTAGTGTTCGAACAAGTGATGGAGACACGAATGACTTCCCGGTTAGGATATGACTACATTAAAGGTCAGCTTTGAGCCCTTATCTGTTTGCCTTAGTGATGGATGAGGTCACAAGGGACATACAAAGGGACATCCCTTGGTGTATGCTTTTCGCGGACGATGTAGTGCTAGTTGATGAAAGTCGGACAGGAGTAAATCAGAAACTGGAGTTATGGCAGGAGACTTTGGAGTCTAAAGATTTTAGACTCAGTCGAACTAAAACTGAGTATATGAGATATGACTTCGGCACTACTACTCGGGAGGAGAAAGATATTAGTTTGGAAGGTCAAGTTGTGCCTAGGAAGGATACCTTTCGATATTTAGGATCAATGCTATAAAGAGACGGGGATATTGATGAAGATGTTAGCCATAGAATCAAAGCAGAGTGGATGAAGTGGCGCCAAGCATCTAGTGTCCTATGTGACAAAAGGGTACCACATAAGCTAAAAGATAAGTTTTATAGGACGGCGATTAGACCTACTATGTTGTATGGTGTAGAATATTGGCCTACGAAAAGACGACATGTTCAACAGATAAGTGTCGCGAAAATACGTATGTTGCGATGGATTTGCGGTCATACAAGAAGGGATCGAGTTCGGAACAATGATATACGTGATAGATTAGGGGTAGCACCAATTGAAGAAAAGCTTGTCCAACACCGGTTGAGATGGTTTGGACATGTCCAACGGAGACCTCTAGAGGCGCCGGTGCGTAGTGGAATCCTAAGCCAGGATAGTAACGTGAAGAGAGGCAGAGGAAGACCGAAGTTGACTTGGGTAGAGGCAATAAAAGGAGACTTGAAATAATGGAATATACCCAAAGACTTAGCCTTAGATAGGAGTGCTTGAAAAACAGCTATTCACGTGCCTGAACCTTGATTGCTTCTGTTGGGTTTCAACTCTAGCCTACCCCAACTTGTTTGGAATTAAAGGCTTTGTTGTTGTTGTCGTCGTCGTCGTCTCATATGGTTTTATGAACAATGTTACTATCACTTTATCGGACGAAGAAATGACGAAAATAAAAGTTGTAGGTCTTGATGAGTTCTACAACGTTTATGTTCATAACTTTTTGAGTTTAAGTTATTTGGTGTCTCAAAGTTTTGTTTGAATGTATCATTTATTGAAATTCAAATTTTGAATTATTCAAATTTAGTCACATAAAAATATAACCAAAACAAAAGTTGTAGATATTGATGAGTTATACAACTTTTATATTCATGACTTTTCTAGCTGAAATCATTTACTCTTTGAAAATGTTGTTTGAAGTTGCCATTTTATGAAATTCAAAATTTAAATCATTCAAACAAAGTCTCATGATAAGATAACCAAAATAAAAGTTGTAAATCTTGATGAGTTTTACAAATTTTATGTTTACAACATTTTCATTTTAGTCATTTTCTGACTTAAAATTCAATTCGAAGTTCAAAAATTCAAATTTTTAATTTTTAAATATAATTTTTTTTATTTTTAAAAAAAGAAAAGGTATCATTATATATATATATCTGCAAGTTGTTTTTTTTATGTGTATAGGAAAATATAGCAAATTATTTTTAATACATTTATACATTTATAAAAAAAATATGCAGAACTAATATTTAAAAATACAAAAATATTTGTAGGGGCGGCTCGTATCACCAGCCGCCCCTACTGGCCTCGTGGGACCCCGGCGGGGCACTGTAGGGGCAGCTGCAGAGTGAGCCGCCCCTACCGAGAAAAAAAGATGCCGTTGCTACAAACTAGTTTTGTAGTAGTGGCCTAACCTCTTCCAAACCCTTATTATGTTCCTCTTACATCTCTACAATGTTTGAGAACGCCCTAGCTAGCCCGCCGGCACTAAGACAACCTAAAGTGCGATTGTCCTAGCGGAGTCCCTCCTAGACAAGCTGAGGCCATGTTTAGTTCCACCAAATTCCCAACTTTGACACTATGCAAAAAGAAGATTTCCCGTCACATCAAACTTGCGGTACATGCATGGAGTACTAAATGTTGATGAAATCAAAAACTAATTGCACAGTTTGGTTGTACTTTACGAGACGAACGTTTTAAGCCTAATTAGTCAACAATTTGACAATTATGTACAGTGATTTCGCAGACAAACGTTTACGAGACGAACGTTTTGAGCCAAATTCCCAACAGTGTAGCTACCTTGATTTCGTCGGCACCGAATCGGCCGAACTAAAACACGGCCTGAGCTCTCTTTGGTTTGATGAGCCTGTCAAAATCGGACAAGCTACTTTCTGTGACCATGCATACACGCCAGTATTCGCAGAGGCGTTACAACACGCGCCTCGGCGAGTTGCACCTAATGACCTAAACATGCTTGTGTGATGGGGGTATTTTCGCGTGAAGACCTCGTCTATTCACGTGTTAACATCACATACACGCAAATATAGAGACGTGAACTTTCGTCTGCGGTGGGGGAGCACGTAATTACCTTTTCTTTTTTTGAGCTAGCTAGTGGAGAGCACCCGATGGATGGATGTGCTGCGGAAAATGGCCTTGTTGGAACGGTCAAGAGTGTAGGGGTATGCTGCAACCTGCAACTGCGTCGTGACGTCGCGGGGGCCATGCATGCATGGGACGACGTTGACCTGACGTGTGCCGCGCGCCCGCGCATGCCTATAAAACCCGCAGCCCAGCGAGCTGTCTTCCTCGCCGTGGAGTAGAGGAGCACAACAAGTGAACTAGCTCATCTAGCTACCAGGCCACTGCTGCCTCCGTCCTCATCACGCACGTCGTCGTGCTAGTACTAGCTAGTAATCAGGCGTGCCGGGCCGGGGACATCAGCGGCAGCCATGGGCGTGGGGAAGGTGATGAACGACGTGAAGCCGTACCTGGCGATGGTGCTGCTGCAGGTTGGGTTCTCCGGGATGTACATCCTCTCCGTCGCCTCCCTCAAGCGCGGCATGAACCACTTCGTCCTCGTCGTCTACCGCAACCTCGTCGCCACCGTCGTCATGGCCCCTTGGCCCTCATCTTCGAGAGGTACCACTACTAGTAATCATGGTGCATGTATAACCGTCGTAGGTTCTTTAGTTTCTCCTAATGTCGTCCTCGTGTTGCTAATTCATAGACGATGGTGATGTTATTTCGTTAATTGCAGGGGAGTGAGGCCCAAGATGACGCCTCTCATCTTCCTCAAGATCATGGGGCTTGCCGTGCTCGAGTATGTGCCCCGGTCGCCATGCTTGTAAACCTGCAGTGAACAATGCAGAGGAAAATCTGCTGTTCTGCTAACGTGCATTATATTCATGCGTTTCAGGCCAGTGCTGGACCAGAACATGTACTACCTCGGCGCGAAGCTGACCTCGGCCACCTTCGCCTCGGCCCTCGTCAACATCCTCCCGGCCATCACGTTCCTGATGGCGCTCGTCATGCGGATGGAGAAGCTGAGGCTCCGGAGCCTCCGCAGCCAGGCCAAGGTCGTCGGCACAGTCTGCACCGTCGCCGGCGCCGTGCTGATGATCCTCTACCACGGCCCCGTGGTGCCGTTCCCGTGGTCCGCGGGCCACCACCACGCCGCCGCCGCCGCGGTGGAGAGCCAGAGCAGCGCCTCCTGGCTCAACGGCACCGTCATGATTATTGGCAGCTGCCTGTGCTGGTCCGGCTTCTTCATCCTCCAGGTACGAGCAATCGAGTACGACACGGCCACCGCGCGCGCACGCACTGACTCCATGATGCATTGCGTAACTAAGGAGAGGCAGCATGGCGAGGCATCAGGCGCTAACACTAACAGCATCCCTATGCAGTCGAACACGCTGCAGAGCTACCCTGCGGAGCTGACGCTGGCGACGCTGATCTGCTTCCTGGGCTCTGTGCTGACCGGCGGGGTGGCGCTGGTGGCGGAGCGCCACGACATGAGCGCCTGGGTCATCGGTTTCGACACCCGCCTCTTCACCGCCGTCTACTCCGTAATCAATCCATCCTTACCTGACTAAACTAACTGCTGTCCAGTAATCTTTTCTTTCGTCACAATAACGACGACGATTCCACGACGAGCTAGCTAGCTAAACTAACCTGCTAATCTGCTGGCGGCGTTCCATTCCAGGGGATCGTGTGCTCCGGCGTGGCCTTCTACGTGCAGGGGATCGTGACGCAGGCGCGCGGCCCGGTGTTCGTGACGGCGTTCCAGCCCCTGGTCATGATCATCACCACCGTCCTGGGCTCCACCATACTCAAAGAGGAGACCACCCTCGGAAGGTAACCTATTCTAATGCCAGTTTACTTACAAGCAGCTACGAGTAGCTGAGCTTCACTGATCGATCGATCGAGTGACTGTTCAAAAAAAAAAAAAAGATCGATCGAGTGACTTCACTTGCTGATTAATTAACTAACTCCTTTCTTTCCCGGCCTTGTGGTTACAGCGTGATTGGCGCGGTGATCATAGTGGTGGGGCTCTACTGCCTCATCTGGGGCAAGAGCAAGGACCACCTCGGCAACGGCAAGCCCGGCGCCGCTGCCGTCGCCGGCGAGCTGCCCCTGACCTCGGCTCCCGCGGCCAACGGCAACGGTTACGGCAAGCACGCCGCGCTCGGCGGCGGCCACCATGTCACCAGCGGCGTCGAGACACCGCCACGGTCTGTGCCCAAGTGCGTTCACTGACGACGCGGATCGAGCTCCATGATGCATGACGACTACTTCCGACTGTTCACCGCACACTAGCAGTGCATTGCCACTTTGCCAGTGGCTGTAAGCCTGTATGATCCTGAAGGAACTTAATTGAGTTGCTCTGCTCTCGTAGAGACGGGGACCGATGCCGATCGTTGCGTTAACGACTTTAATTTTGATTTGATGTAGTAGCTCTCGTCGTTGCTCTGCTCTGCTGTGCCACCGCCACTAATACTACAATCTTTGTTTAGTTTGTGCGAGAAGAAGAGAATTATTCTAGTCTGCACGCTGCATGCATTTGATTCTCATCAGTGATCGATCAGCTGTCCAGTTGATGCGTTCGCCGCCCCGTTACATCCAGAATCCGATCGTATATCCAAAGCGGGAGTTGCCGCCCCCTTGGAATCTGCAACGTAGTACAGCCGTCACCATCACTCCATCAGCTTTGCTTCCGCCTTCTGAACGCTACGCGCATAATTCATGGCTTTATTGGCTTAGTGCCTGATGACACTGATCGGACAATCCGGCCTCCTGCAGTCCTGTGTTCTGTGTAGGACAAATATAATCCCAGTTGGTCTCTGTCTCTAATAATAGAAACTTTCATGTAATAAATAAATATATAGGCTAAATGGAAGTAGGTAGCTTTTGGTAACCGGTGAATTGTACGTCGTATTGATCACTCATAGCCCAGAAAAATTGGGGTGGCGGATGGGAGGTGCAGGAAGCTTTCTGGCTCGTGATTTTTGATGCAGCAAGATTTGCATCTCTCTTCCGGACTGGTGGCAGGAAGGAAAAGCAGTATGCATCCTGTCCAGAAAGCACTCCAAAAATATCTCAAAAGTTAGCTATAGCTTAAGGACATTCAAATAGTGTGTGTTTTTGGTCCACGGCGTAGGGATTCGTTGGTTTTGCTTAGCATCATAAGAATACGTTGTTTCATCTGAAATAGCCATAAACAAATATGGTTAATCATTTCTAGCTCAGAGGGACGGAAAAATGTCATTTTAGGTCTTTTTGATTTAGAAAGCCAAACCGAAGTTTGGCTCACCCCCCGGTCTTTTTGATTTAGCCCCCCGTATTTGGTTGGAGGCCAAATTTTGGCGGGTTCCCAGTTCCCACAAAATTTGCCCTACCCAGCCATTTCCATAGAATCAGATCGGTGGAGGGGTTTTGCGCTGGATTTGCTCGCTCTAATTTGGCTCTGCAGCCAAAGGGATGCAAGTATTACATGGCAGCAGGCAAATAGATCTAGCTAATTAAGGCCCCCTTTGGTAGGGATAAGTGATCCGGCTCCTTCACTATGTGTGTACTGTAGCCGGAGCTATTGGAGCCATAAAAACTAGCTTCTTCAGCTCTGTGAGAGGGAGAGGAGAATGAGAAATGGATTCTGTGAACCGTGCCTGCTACAACGTCGTTGTCAGGAGGAACCGGAGCTAGGGAATCTGTACCAAAGGGCATAGTTGCTGCATGACAACATTCAAATGAGTACGGTTCGTGAATGATGACTTTAATTAGCATGCATTTCTGATTGCAGTATTGTATTCGCTTTGATTTAATTTACATTGACTATGGGTCTGTTTGGCAGGGCTCCGGCTCCTTCAAAAACAGCTCCGGCTCTGGCTCTTCCGAAGAAGTGGCTCCTCTGAAGGAGCTGAAGCCGTTCTGAAAAACGTTTGGCAGAACGGTTCCTCCTGTTTTTCTAGAATGGATGAAAGATGGTAAATGTCTATAATACCCCTGCTTATTATTTTACTATGGTGCAGATGTAGTAAAACCCAACCTAGAAAAAATGGGTTTACTATTTTTTGATATTTGTGTGATTTACTATATATTTTACAAGTGTCAGGTCCATTTCATGAGGAAGCTAATAGTTGTTTTTTCATTGGGAACCTTGATCTATTTCTAAATTATTGGTGCTATTCTTTATTTTCTTCCTCTTGTATTTTTGCATTGGGAACCCTATCTTTTCTCCAATTCTTGCTAGCAGGTCCTCTCCTTTCTCTACGTACAGGCACAGGAAAACGGGCTGGCCTTGCTGTGACGGATGCTCGTCGCTCGAACCAGCGGAGGACCATCACGTCCATGGCCTCGTCACCGCTGCCACGCACTCGCGTCGCCCATGGCCTCGCCACCGCTGCCACGCGCTCACGTCGCCGTGGTCTCCATGTCTTTTCACTCGCAGATGGACGAGGAGCCGGGAGAAGCTCGGTTTTGGGGCTCCGTCCGCGCAGCACAAGAAATGCTCCGGCTCCCTTGAGGCTTCGGCAGCGGAGCTGGTTTACTCATCGGTGTTTGGCAGGGCTTCGGCAAGAGCCGGAGCCGGAGCCGCTCGCGGAGCCCTGCCAAATGGCCCCATATATGTTTTTATGTCAAATATTTTTCACAACACGTGGGACCCGCTTGTAGTTACTACTCACAAGTCACAACCCAACATCAATGGACGCATTTGGCCCTGCTGGGTCAGATTTTGGCTTGGCCTACCGAGGACACGGACCAAACGGCCTAATGTGCTCATCATAGCACTGCTGTCTAGTGCAATGGGCAGATCCAATCCTGCTCGAAAGTCGAAATCGTAGAAATATATGCCCCTGGTTGGGTACGTGATATGATGCCTTGGGGATGCCTAGCGGCTAGTGCAACATAGCATATGCTACTTCCACCGTCTAAAAAATACTAAGGACTCAAACAATTTAAATTTTAATTAAATCCTGTTCGGCTTACCCCATATTTTTTCAGCCGGAACAGTGTTTTTCTCTCACAATAATTCAGCCGGAACAGTGTTTTTCAGCCGATTTCAGCCAAGTTTCAGACCAGCGGACGGGGCCTAAAGATAATAACATTTATTAAATTAATTATAAAATTTATTTTCTTAGTAAATTTTATTGGACCACAAATGTTAATACTATATCTTATAGACTTGTTCAAACTTAAATTAGTTTGACTGACATAAATTTTATAGTTGTATTCTTTTATGGGCAGAGAGAGATGAAACAAGTGTAGGAGGTGACCAGGATCCAAGGATAAAGCCGACAAGGATCCCAGTGCATGGAGGGTCCAATGATGAAGTTGACATGGATCTCACTGACATCTACGGTAAAGATTTTGTTGGATTTTAGGGCTTGGCTCATTTCTATTCAATTAAAATTAAATAAATCCTCAAGCTTATACTAAATGTTAGGGTGCATTAAAGTCTTAGTCCTACATGAGATTTTGATTAAGGTCTATTTGGTTCAACTATGAGCTAAAAAAAAGTTGTGAGCTATGTGTTGTAGAAAAAATGTAGCCCGCTTAGTTGAAACCTATTCCCTCTCTCCATCTCTCTCTAAAGCAACCCTGAAACATCTCTCTATTTTCACTCATGTGGGAAAACAAAAAGTCGAAAGGTTAAAAGCATGGTCCATAGTGCTGCGAAAATTGTACAAATGCTATGTACAATATAATAACATACTTACCATATGAATAGTAATCATTGCAACATAAGCTGCACTATTATACCCTGGAGTGGGACCAGTGCCAGAGCACCGGTGGCTCCTTTCTCACTTAGAGATGGATTCAGATCGACTGCATGTGATCGAATACGGATAGCACTATTTTATCATATTTTAATTCGAATTCTGAAACTATTACCGGATACAAATACAAAAGGAATGTCCCAAACTCAGATTTACATCTGGATATCTATTAGACTTGAATGATAACACATATCTATTTGCTTGTCAGATAGTTTTAGTAGAACAAAATCATTATGCATGTAGAAAATATGATTATATAACCTCTATAGATAACAACAACTCATAAAACAACATATATAGTAAATGTTTCAATAATTAAATATATAAAAAATAATAAAGTCATTATGCAAGGGTTTGAGTAAATAAAAATAGATAGACTGATTGGTCTCAAAGCTTGATGTAAAACTTGAAAAAACGAGGGGGATGGCCTGGCCTGAGTGTCTGACTGAAGCTCCACCCGATCACTCCTCAAACTTTCGTTGTCATTTCTCTCGCTGTGCTCCTATGACCCTTTTCCCCGCTGGAGCCTGGAGTCCTGAAGCTCTCCTGACTCCTGAAGTCCTGAGGATGGAGAGGTCGAGAAACTCCTGGTTTGGCTAATTGACGCTCAAGGCTCAACATGATCCATCCATGGACTGGGCCGTCCGTTCCCAGCACATTTCAGCACATTCCTGTTTTGCTACGTGCCGACGCCGGAGAGATATGAACGAACGAAAAAAAAAAAGGCGAGTGGATCATCAGACATACATGGCCCAAAGGTCACTCTCGGAAGGGCCGGCTGTTCGCCCGAGCCATGCATACAGCCATCTCGTTCGTCCTTTTTTTTTAAAAAAAAAGGGGGGTCATCGCGCGCGTTGGTCTCTGGACTTTTTCCTTCGTTTTCCAGGCTTTTGGATATTCATCATCCATTTTGTGATGAGAGGAAGGAACCGAGTGGCCGATCGCTCTCTGGTAAAAACGAAGATGGACACCTGACGACCGTGATCGTAATCGGAATGGCTGATCGGTGATCGGTGATGGCTCATGCGCTCTTCTTCCCTTCTAGGTTCTAGCAGCTTTCTTTCTTTAGGAAGAGAATGGGATTGACCTACGATTTTTTTAAGCCATGATTGGGGTACCCATTAGCCAGGTAGGTGCAGCACGAGAGCCCACAAAAGTCCCGTGTCAAAATAAAAAGATTATTTTATGAAAAAAAAACTTTTTAAACCATTAATGTAATCTGTTTATTCTTCTCAAACTCTAAAATCAGACATCTTACCCTTCATAGACTCTCAAAACCAATAAAATTACTTCCTTGCCTTGGTTTGAAGTGGTTGTGAAGACGGTTTTATCACTTTTTTAGTTAAGAAATTTCATAAATATTGGATAAGATTTTTAAGCCATAAAAATATCTATAAGCTTCTAAAAACTATTATAAAAAAACCTAGAGATAGATTGGAATATAAAAACACAAATAAAATATTTAGAGCTCGTTGAGATATC